AGAGAGAGAGAGAGTTTTCTCTCGCTTTATACAAACACAATTTATATACTTGTGTTTGTATAAAATGAGAGAGACGAGGAAAAGTGGCGAGCGAGATTTCTAGGGATAGAGACGAATGACAAAGTATTTGCTACGAATTAAAATCAAAAGAAATTGAGTTATAACATTTAATTTGAATTAACAGTTTGTTATTTACAATTTTCTCCATTTATTTTTTGTGCATGATCCATGCTAAAACATCTCTTGCACCCAAACAGACCCATATGCATCCGTTAACTTAAAAAAAATTAATATAACTTACATAAATCTCTGTAAAGAATAAATTACATTCAATAAACTTTTTTGTAATTACAATAATTTTTTAAAATTTGTATCTTTTGTATACATAAGTCACTATCCCGATACAAAAATTCTAGTACAAGAGTAATCTTTTTGTTGCGCTAAAAAGAGAATAAAATTTGGAAATTAATTAAATCTCATAAATTATACTTGGGTTTCTTCTTACTCTCAATCATCCAAAGGCAGATCCTATCATAACGAAGAAACTCAAAATTTCAAATTTCTCTCCCCATTCAACGAAGAAATCTTTCAGATTTGATTTTAAAAATATTGTCCAAATTTTGGGTAAGTGAGATCAGTAATGAAGGATACAAAAGTGATAGAACTGTTGTTGAACAAACGATTACCTTTTGAATCTTCAAGTTCATTGAAGATCCTTTCAATTTGATTCAATATTGTCAAAAAAAATTAGATTCAAGAATTTTCTTCTCCCAGAATATCGAAGATCAAAATTGTTGAAAATTTTGAGATTCAAATTTTTTCTCCTACTTTGTTGAAATTTCTTTAAATTTTGATTCAAAAATTGTCAAAAATTTTGAGAAGATACGTCATGAATATCTTTGTTTCTTAGTATTTTACTATCTATATATTTTGTTTAAATTGATAAGTGTTATATTTATACTAGATACATTAAATGAATAATTGTGCCTATAAGGGATGTTAGATTTAAGATCGATACATTTAGTATAAGTTCAAATTTACGTATCATATTTAAAAAAATTTTAGTGCATTATGCATTACAATTTATGTATCTCATTTTAATTGATAAGTATTTTATTTATATACTAGATATATTATCGCCTAACAGTTACTATGTAATTGATACATTTAGTATAAATTTGAATTTACATATCATATCTAAAAAAAATTAGTGCGTGATACATTGCTATGTATATGTATTACTCATTTAAATTGATAAGTATTTATTGTTACATGATACATTAAACATGTAGTTGTTGCCGATAAATTATATGGTTTGAGATCGATACATATAGTATAAATTAATATTTATATATCATGCCATATAATTTGACGTACCTATGTATCTTAAACAAAAAAAATATGAATTTGATAAATAATGATTTAGTTATAAAAAAATAATGCACATACCTAACAAACATATGATACATAGTCAATAAATTGAGCCTATTGTTCGTGTTTTCCCATAAAAAAGAGCTAGAAAGAAAAGATACCTTTTGATTAACTTTAAATCATTAACTTGAGAGATCACATATTTGAAATTCAAAATAAAGGAGTGATGAAGGTAATTAGTGATATAGTGGTGCGATAATATGCATGAAAAAGGGAAGAATATAGTGGAGTTGGAAGATTGAAAGTTATGTATCTGAAAATAAGAGAGTTTGAAAAAAAATATGAGATTTTTGTAAATTTTTGACATGGTAGAGAATAATAGAAAATAGGGTAAAAAAAGATATATAGTTAGGTAATTTTTCCAACGAAA